GAAAATCATAAGCATTAACATGAGATTCGTAACTATGCACTGCATGATACTCCAGCCAAGGATTTACTTAATAAGATTGTGACTAGCAACCTCCACTACTTATAAATATAAGTTCATAATGATTAGGTGAAATTCCTTTATATTTTAGCATCAAATTCATGCATGCAAACTAAATATGCATCCTTAATCAACATCTAAGAACAAGTTATCAATCAAACAGATAAGTAAATCGCATTCATGCTTTACGAAACAATAACTGGAGGAAATCAATTCATATTACATATATGTTCATGGCTTTGAATCCACCTATAGCTAAAACCAGTTTAGTTCCTCATGTTCGCACTTAAACAAAGATAACTTAAATTAAACATTGAAAACAAAAGATAGAATACACCTAAGAACGTTCCAGCAATCTAAGCTTGAATGGCAGGGCACGGCTCCAAAGGTCTCCTCTCGTTTCTCCTTGCAAGGCTGCGGCACAAGAGAGATTTCTATGCATGATGGATGTGTGGTGCGAATTGTGGTCAGAGATGGGTGATTTATGATTATTGTGGCACAAGGTATTTATATGGAGAAAGGAGGGCACGGCAAAGGCTGAGAAGGAGGGGAATTAGGACTCCAAATCAACAAGGAAAAAGGACACTTCTCATTCAGATTCCGGGGAGGAAAAGAATGGTCTTTGAGGCAGGAAACATGGCTTTTAAAAAGGATGTATGCGGCATAGATTTAGGGATAGGGCTTTGGCTTCTAGAAACCTGATTTGTAGGTATTCTAATGTCATTTAGATGTCCTCCTTGTAGCTGGAATTAAGGTAGATAAGGTTAGGATAATGTTGAGATAAAACAGGAACGGATAAGGTTTTGGATAATATTCCCTCCTTGTAGCCGATTCCCTATCTTTTTTTTATCTTGAATTAATTTCTTCAACTCATGAGCACATTCCTAGCCTATTTTAATCTTCAAAAACGTCCATCTACCTTGTTCTATGCATGTGCTATCCATTCCAAGCCCAAAACTACTCCAAAATGCTCCAAATTGCACTTTCTTGCCAACTTTTTCATTTAGACCTGAAAACACACGAAAATAGTCTAAAACACTCTAATAAGTAGAAATTAGCCATGTAAATGCAAGAAAACAAGCTAACTAAGTCGCATAAATATGCTCCTATCACAGGCTTGTTGCAAAAGGATTTCATCAGCAATAAGGTCTGGACTACAATGAAACTTTCAGTCCGGTTGCTAAACCAGTTACCATTCGAATCTTACTTACTTTAGCAGCTAAATTTGATTGGTTTCTGAATCAGTTAGATGTTAGCAACGCCTTTTTGCATGGCAATCTCACTAAGTCAGTGTATATGGTTCAACCTCCTAGTTTTGAGGACTCTATCAACCCAAATGCATGTCTGTAAATTGCATAGGTCTCTGTATAGCTTGAAATAGGCTCCCAAAGCTTGGTATGACAAGTTGACAGCTGCTGTAATCTCTATTAGATTCTCCGATTCACATAATGATCATTCCCTATTTGTCAAGAAAGATGCTTCTGTGGTGTATGTCTTAGTACATGTTGATGATATTCTGGTTACAGTACCTGATTCTAAACCATGATAAACTGTGATTTCTCAACTTTGTGCTTTATTTCCTGTCAAGGACTTAGGACCCCTTCATTATTTTATGAGAATTGAAGTCAAGAGATCTTCCAAAGGGATCTTTATTTCTCAAACTAAATATATCCTGGATCTTCTCAACAAGGCACAGATGATCATGCTAAGCCTTGTGCTACTCCATTGAGCACATCCAAATTAGATCACTCATCTCCATTACTTCTCAATCTAGAAGAATACAGATCATTAGTTAGAGGGCTTCAATACCTCACTTGGATTAGTCTTGACCTTTCTTTTGCAGTTAATCTTGTGTGTTAGTTTATGCAAAGTCCAAGGCAATCTCATTTTCAGGCTGTAAAAAGAATTTTAAGACATCTGAATGGCTGTCTCTCCTTTGGTCTCTGGTTTCCAAAATGTTCACAACAACTTAGCATCAATAGTTTCTCAGATGCAGATTGGGCAAGTTGTTCTTTAGATCAAAGATCCACAGGTGGTTTCTGTGTTTTTCTGGGTGATTCACTCATTAGTTAGAGTGCTAAGAAGCAACCTACTGTGGCTAGGTCCTATACTGAAGCATAATATAGACATTAGCTAACACAACTGCTGAATTAACTTAGATTTGCAAACCATTGGTTAATATTGGTCTTATTCTTCCCTGTCCTCCCAAAATTAGGTGTGACAACATATCTGCCAACTCTCTAGCTAAGAATCCACTATGCTCGAACTAAGGATGTGGAGATTGACTATCATTATATCAGGGAGAAAGTGTTGGCACACTCTGTCACAGTTCATTTTGTTTGTACACAGGATCAAACTGCAGACATTTGCACTAAAGCACTGTCCAAGGATCATTTTCTACTTCTTCAAGACAAACTTTCTTTTCGGATACTTCAGTTTAGTTTGAGGGGGGATATTAAGGGTAGTAATGTAAATTGACAAAGTGTGGTTTGTTATGAGAATTTGTTATACTTTGCTTAGTCATTAAGATAGGTGTTTTACATATGTAAATGATGGTATATATACATATACCTAAATTGTAAGATTATTCATTCAATAAAATACACAATATTATTTTACTCTCTCTCTCTCTCTCTCTCTCTCTCTCTCTCTCTCTCTCTCTCTCTTACTAAATCTCTCTCTAGATTCTAACAAAAAAAGTATTGAATTTAGTTTTTTTTTTTTTTTCCAGGAATGACGTATAAATACAAACACCCTATTTTTTGAGGTGCATTCAGTAATCAGACTGTTTAAATTTTTAGATTCTCTTTCAAGAATTATTAATCCTAAAAGCACTTAATTAAATTGTTTACTGCTTAGCTGCTTGATCGTCTACATCTTCATTTCAACTTTATCCAACAAATGGTGTTTTCCTTCAACATTTTATATGATTCAACAATATTGGATTGGCATTTTTTTTTTCTTTTTTACTGTTTTTTTTGCATGAATGACTCATAAATGAGGACAGCCTATTTTCGAGGTGTTATTATTAACAGGCTGTTCAATTTTAAGATTCTTTTTTAAGGATTATTCATGCCAAAATCAGCTAAATTAGTAACAATTATCTGCATGTGTAGTTTACCTTTATCAAACACAACGACTTTCTTCACACTTTTTATGACCAAATAATTTTTTTAATATGGATTTGATTCTTTACAAATGAGTACTATAGATGTTTCAACTAGTTAGTTGAATGTAGGAAATGGAAAAAACTACTAAGACAAGAAAATTTTGAGAGAAATTCTTCACTAAAACATACATATATAATGTTTGGTTCAAATCACAATAAATAAATTGTTTTTTTCTAGCTAGGTTTTGGCAACATCATGTGGCTAAGAATATTTGTTTAAAAGAATTTATTTTTGTTAAACATGACCCACATATATATGTATGGTATCTACACAAAGTTAACCAAAAACAACAGCAAGATCCTGAGACCAACAAAAGAATTAAGAGGTCGAAAAAACTATAGGCATGTTTCAATTGAAGCACCCCGGAGAATTTCAAATGCGCACGAGGATGAAAGAATTGAAGCATGAGGTTGGCATTTCAAATTTTATTTTGCAGCTCCTTTGCTGTTGTCGTTGTTCTCTTTCTTTTTTTTTTTTTTTTTTTTTTTTTTTTTTTTTTTTTTTTCTTACGTTAAAACCCTACGAACCAGTTACCAGTTCCGTGACAGAAACATGCATCACTGCCTGATTTGGTCCAGCAATCCCCATGTGGCTGTGCCTACGTGGACATGCCGTTTTTAACCGCCAAACCAATTACTAAGCCGTGCGAGTCAAGCTCGATCGAAGTCGAACTGATCATATCGTACAGTGAATCTCACTCGAGGAGTCCGGACCAGTACTAGTGCGCACACCTTTGGGATCATTGGAAATGAAACTGACCCCACCTAACCTTATTTTTCTTACTCATCATCATCCTACCGTCCATCCCTTGACCCTCTGCACCTTCTCACTTTCTGTGTGGTTTTTCAAAGGGGAAGATCTCCGAATAAGTCTCATCCTAGAATCATCTCAGCAGTCGTGGTGTAGCGTAGAAGAAAAATGTTTACACAGATAAAATTGTAATTTAAATGTAAGAATAAAATGTAAGTGGCCCTTTATCACAATGATGAAAAGAAATTATGTTTTTACATTTCGGCGTGAGTTTGAATTTCGTCGGCTTCTTATCTAACATCTAATCACTAATATACAAACATGTTGCATTGGACTTTCTATACATATATACCATCTCTCTACCTCTCTCTTATAAAGTACTCTGCCTTTTCATTGCTCTCCCCTGTGATTCAAAGGTAGACTTATATGTTAAAGTTCTCTCTCTCTCTCTCTCTCTCTCTCTCTCTCTCCCCTCTCCTCTTACAAAGTACAAGTGTGAAACACTTTCATCTTCTTTACTTTCATTTTTCTCAAATCTTTTTCCTCATCAAATAAAGCACTAATATTTACGTACTGTACTCTCTCTCTCTCTCTCTCTCTCTCTCTCTCTCTCTCTCTCTCTCTCTCCCTCTCCACATGCTCTACTTTTTGTTACTATAAAAGGACCATCCCTAGCTCCTTCGAAAAGCAACTACAAATTGGCACCCACTTACAAAGTGAGAGAGACTCAGTGAAACAGTTAACTCTCTCTGATCTTCTCACAAACAGATCACAATGAAGCTTACTACCAGACCCTCCCCACTAGTCCCTACTCCAAAACACAAGGCAACATTCACCTGCTGCACCCTTACTCAATTACCAATTGTAAACCCCAATCAGATGACCTTCACTCACAACCTTCCCAACTGGCAACAATTGCTCAATCCAGTTGACATTAGCTCCCTAGCACTCACCCCTTTCACCCCCATAACCACCACCACCACAACATCTTCTGCCACCGCCACTGCCGCCGCCAAACAACCCATTCGCAAAAATTGGATGGAGTACCAAGGCTTCACCAACTGGGAAGGTCTTCTCGACCCTCTAGACGCCAATTTACGTGGCGAGATTATAAGGTATGGACAATTTGTCGATGTTGCATACAAGGCGTTTGACTTTGATCCGGATTCCAATTCATACGCAACATGCAAGTACTCGAAAGCCTCCTTGTTTGAAAACTCCGGGCTTCCGGGAACTGGGTACCGGATTACAAAAAATTTACGTGCCACGTCCGGCATCCAGCTTCCTAGCTGGATAGAAAAGGCTCCGAGTTGGGTCGCGACGCAGTCTAGCTGGATTGGCTACGTGGCGGTATGTCAAGACAAGGAGGAAATTGCAAGGCTTGGAAGACGGGACGTAGTGATTGCCTATAGAGGTACCGCAACGTGCTTGGAGTGGCTCGAAAATCTTCGAGCAACTCTCACCCAACTCCCGTCCGTACTTAATAACTCAGGCCTGGACAACTGTGAACCAATGGTCGAAAGTGGATTTTTGAGCTTATACACTTCAGGAACCGACTCAATCCCGAGCTTGCAACAAATGGTACGCCAAGAGATTGCACGGTTGCTTCAATACTACGGCGACGAGCCTCTCAGCATAACATTCACCGGGCACAGCCTTGGCGCCGCGCTAGCAACGCTCGCAGCTTGCGACATTAAAACTACGTTTAACCCGTCACCACTGGTCACCGTCATGTCGTTTGCCGGGCCACGTGTCGGAAACAGTAGCTTCCGCCGCAACCTGGATAAGAAGGGCGCAAAAGTTTTACGCATTGTGAACTCCGACGATGTAATAACTAAAATACCGGGTTTCGTAATCGACGACAATGAAAGGCGCCATAAGGCGTGCGATGGTGGGTTCCGAAAGGCGGTAGAGTTCCAGAACTGGATCCAGAAGAAGGTGGAGGACACGCAGTTGTCGTACGCAGAGGTTGGGAAGGAGCTCAGGTTAAGCAGCAAGGACTCACCTTATCTGATGGGCACCAACGTGTCCACGTGTCACGAGCTCAGCACGTACCTCCACCTCGTCGACAATTTCCAGAGCTCAAAGTGTCCGTTCAAAGCCACGGCCAAGAGATTATTCAGCAAAAAACACTAATTAACTTAAACAAACCGTAGAGAGTAACATCTGACGACATCGTTTTAGTCATCTTCTCTGTACATACGAAAGTATTTCCCGCCAAATTAGGGGCAGGGGGGGTCTCAATTTTTTGTAATTACAAAACGAGATAAATTAACTAATTAATCATTGGTTTGTGTTTGACTTTTCTACCGTCGATGGAAATGAAAGTGACATTAATTGACTTATCTATTACACGGCTAGTTAGCTTAAAACGCACCTCGGCAGTGGCGGAAATGAATCATCTCTATGCACTTTTAGTGCAGGTTTGGTCTCCATTGATTTTTCTCCTTTCTAATAACTAACAATTTAATCTACTACCACTCTCATTTGTTAAAAAAAAAAAAAAAAAAAAAAGGGTTTAAAACATAAGAGAAAGACTTCAATTACTTAATCGGGTATCTTTATGGCTGCATTATTTGAAACACCGTCACATTAACAGCCATGCTTAAGTTTCACTTGCAAAGAAGTGAAGTTGCCATGAAACCATTTTTCTTTTCCTTATGCTTTTACTCTCCCCAAAACACACAGAAATACCAGCACTTGTTTACTCTCAAATTCACAGCAGGAGCACGGGCTTCTTTTTATTCGTAGAACACCGGCCCATGTTTTGGCAAGAGCAAGACTAAAACCCAAAAAGGCCGACAATGTTTGTTTCTTACGGGTGGAGTCATTAGAAGACTGAAGTACCCCCGGTACCGACCCATTATTACGGAATATTGCCCTTTGACTGCACCGACTTAGGACGCAGAACGAACGCGTTGTCGTCCTGCTAATTTCGTTGTTGACGTAAATGGAACCGGGGTAGCGCCGTCCATACCCACACACTTTGTCAGTAGCTTTGGGATAAAATGACTGGAATAACCTTCGGCGCCGTTCTGTAACTGCTTCAGAGCCAAAGCTTTATAACGCACGAGCATAAAACTGTGGTCAAGCTTTTATATATGACTAATCGTCGACAACCCAACCGATGTCAACCATAGGCTCGGCGAGCTGTCCTCCAACATTTCCCGATGGTAATGCCAGGGCCTCTTCAGTACTGACGACTCTTGATGCCAAAAAGGAGACCAACGAGACAAGACAGACTATAAACTTGATAGCGTTTTTATTTGGATTATTGTGTTTCTGTTGAAGACCTATGAAGAAAGAAAAAGGATGAGAAGTAACGCTACACTTATAATTTATTTGTATCAAAAAAGTTGTTCTTACCATTTATTTATATCATCATTTGTATTATCTTTTTAATAAAGATGAGATCTATATTCGTTGACGGGCCCTATCTCTATTAGAAAAAATACAAATGATGATAAAAATAATAGATGATAATACAGCATTTTAGGGACATAAGTGATAAAAAGAAAGACCGAGAAAATACACTAGATATATCGGATTAAATAGCAAACCAGTTTCAAGAACATATATAATGCCTTTCTAATTGTAGTAACAACACGTATATAGAAAAATATTTGAAACCTCCGTTAATTAGGAGGAGTTCAAAGTTTTTTCCAAGCCAATGGAGGTCATTGAGCCCTCTAAATATTCATACCACTCCATAAATACCCAAAACGTTGTTTTCTTGACATTTCATTGAGGGTGAGGGTAGGGCTTTTTCATTTTTCTCAGATTAAAAATTCAGAAAAATAATTTCCAAACACTATTTTTTCTTCATGCACACTACCAATTGATTTATAATCTTGTTGATCCTAAAAATTACAAAGTCTACGTGGCGCGCAGGCCAAGTAACTAATGAGCTAACTACATCCTTTTGTTGATGCGGGGCGTGCCAACTCGTTGGCCGAGCCTAGCCGAGGAGTACAATTTGTTGATGTTGCGTTGAGTGTGTTGCTGATTTCTTGATCTTGCGACTGCAGCCAAGGAAGGAACAAGTCTCAGCCTTTGGATTCTCAAGCCTGAAGACAAGGCTGCTAATTTTGCGAAGTTCACGAATCGTCGGCGCCGGATTCGATCATAGTGATTATATTTGTGAGAGTATAAGCATGTCGAATCGACACCAGACTATATGAACACAAGTACTCAAAGGTGATGTATGTCTTGATTGTAAATGTGGTTCGGCCGTCAGAATGCCGATCTCTGAAACTCACTTGTGAGTATCTAATCATAAAATCACTCGGAGTTCAATGTGCCGAATGTCGTAACTCGTAACATTTTACTTCATCGAGAAGGCTAATAAGATGACCTCTGCCAATAAGGATTCGAAAACCCTCGAAAACGTGCACCAGTCGAAACGTCTTTTCCTCATCAATGCATTAACTCTGCCGCAACATGCAATTGTGTGTCCTTAAACGTCGAAAACCTCGATCCCATCTTTGGAAATTTCCAAGATATCCGAAATGATTGGTGATTTCCCGATTGATTTTTCCCTAAAATTTGAAAATCAAACGCTTAAGAAAATCAAACGTTTGACCTTCCTCTCGAGATGCCTATAAATATTTGAATCCCTTCCACTTGCATTTCACGCTTTTAGAAACCCTTAAAAATCTCCTCGCCATTTTGCTTTCAAACTCCCAGAAGACAAACTTTCACCCCAAAAATCCCTCCAAGCTTTCCTCCTAGAACCCTTCCAAGCTTTCCCCAATGGCTTCCAACACCTTTATTTCGAAGCTCACCGATGAATACAGTAAATGCAAAGGCTTCATTGATCGGAGCGTCATCAAAACTCTGCGTTTCGAGAGTGATATGAGCACTACTTATCAAATCCTGGGGCCACTCTTCAAGGATGCAGTATCATCGTCCATCACGACACTCTTTAAGGCTCATTGCCTAACACCCTTATTGCAAGGGTTCGACTGGTTAAAGTGGGACCTAACGAAGCCCCAAGGAGCCTGCCCTACGACCAATGCCAACTGGTATCTATGATGCCATTAGACTATCGACCATAGAGCTAGTCATGGACAACGAACTTCTTATGGCAGCGCTGAGTCTGTGGTGCTCGGCCACCAACACCATGATCCTTCCCTTTGGCCCTCTCGGCCCCACCATCCTCGACATCTTAGCTATTCTTGGGACTTCTCCTTCTAGCATCCCGATAGATGCCGCCCTTTTTGGATACCCGTCGAATCTCAACCTCAAGGCACTTTTCGACGAACGAGTCGTTGAGATGCTAAGTTAAGACGGTCAAGAGCCTTCGAAAGAAGAGGTTTAGAAGCTACACAAGAACTTCTTCAATTACAACACCCTCATCCTCCATTTCACTAGCTGAAGAGAGACAAGTATACAGAAGAGAGAACACGAAGCCTTCCTATTTTACTGGTACAACAAATTTATTTGTTGTACCAAGTCAAACAAATGCCTGGTCGAAAATATGATAGTGGCCAAAGCCCTGGCTAGTGGTCACAACCTGGCGCTCAGCCCGGCCGTTCTCCCCAATCTTCTTCGCTGCCTGGGCGAGACGACTAGTGATAAAATTGACCCAAACCAGAATGGTCCTCTCTAGGTCTTCTAACTTTGGCTACAAGTCTATCTGGCCACACTTCAGCCAGAGATTTCCAGCTTCCAAACCACTACCTCGCTCGGTCTTCAGTTGGCATCACGACCGGCGTCTCCTCACCAGGCCAAAGAAGTCTTCAAATATTTCTTCAGCCTAGATGTTCTTTCTTCGGGCGAGTTTTTAGTGTATCGTCGCCAAAACCACCCATACTCTATCAGGCTTCCATCATCGGCATGGAATGAAAGTGAAGATGCCGCTCTTCGTTAGAATTAAGGATCGATTGTGTTAACACATAACCTTCCCCTTGGTTGTGACTGTAGTCGAACGAGTTGGGAGGTCTACTACCCCTACTTCATTGCTCGACAACTTGGCTACCTCCAAGGTTGTTTGGTACCTCTACTTATTTCCCGTTCCCTCCTAAGCCGAGAACGCCTTTCTGGCTCTTCATTAAAGGAGTGTAGAGATTTCGAGAAAGAGTTTCAGGACCAATGCAAAATATTTCGCCTCCGACCAACTCTTCCTGAATCTTTTGGCACTGACACCTTCGGCGACTGGTGGGAATAGTACACTCAAGCCTTTTTTGGGGTTTCGGTCGAAGACGTCGTCAACAAAATTTTTGGCGATCGGCCCAGAAAAACCTTTATCCCCCAATCCAAAAAGCTGACCCGAGGTATACAGTTACCTCTACCTCTATTTCTCTTATTTACTGTCACTACCTCACTAAAGTAATCTTGTTTCTCAGATGGTCGAACGTCGAAGAAGGCGGATGTGATTGCTGCGGCTGCGGCCAAGAAAAAATCTGCCCTCTCCAAGAAAAGCAAAACCGCCATGGAACCTTCGCAAAGCAAATGGCCTCGTTCGGAAGCTGAGGAGGCCAGTGAAGCTTCTCGACCCTAAAAACGCGTCAAGAAATTAACGAAGAAGAGGGAACGGGAGATTCACGTGATCTCCAGCCACATTACTGGAACGACCGCCCCTGATGACTCTCCTCCCGCCCCGGTTGCCCAAACCCTGACGGAAGAATGGCCAACATTATCCTGCCAAGTAGCTCGACCCATCCCTGGGGCCGTGGCTGATTTAGGTGCTACTCTGCTGGTCGAGGAACACGTAGTCGTGGAAAAATCTCCCGAAAAAATAATTGACGATCATCCTGGAAAAGGTATGATTATGTCGTGAATGACCTTCCTTATTTTATCAGATTTACAAGTCTTAACAACTTTTTATTTTAGGATGACGAAATGCCGTCGGCGAGCCGTCCTTGACCAATCAACACTTCTACCATTAATCCTTCAGCAGTTGAGGCAGCTGACCCAGTCGATCCTCCTACAGCGGATCGCCGGAAGAGTCCAATCCTCAAGCCTGAAGCGACGACAGAGATGTCAATCCATCTGCAAGATCAAAACCTCGACATTCCTCCCCAAGAGGTCACTTCGGCTTTTGTATGGCTCAATCCCCTTCTCTATTCAATTTCATTACAACAAATCTGAACTTAGAAAATATTAAATGTTAGATGCCCGACCATTCATTTCACTGACAGTTCTACACGTCGAAAGTTGTTATCTATATTTCCTGGCCACCTCAGTAGCTGTTGAACGTGGATAACCTTCATCGGCCACGTGAATTGAGGAGCAACCTTAAACGAGCTCTCTGGGTTCAACCAATGAACCAGAGGACATGGCCGAAGTCTCCTCTTAACAGGTTTAAAGCAAATTCCCTTATGAATGATTTACTTGATGCAATACAAAGCAATGATGTGATAAATAATAGCACTCAAATTAAACCCTCTTATTGACAATTGTAGTAAAGATGTAAGTAGGGATCGTTCTAGGGTGGGGATTAGGAAGGATTGCTAATCTAATAAAAACTGACTCAAGAATACAAAAC